TTTGAGTGATCTTGTTTGAGCATCACGTGATCCTGCTGTAATACAGCTCTGTGTTGCATCAGCCCCTAGGCACTGTGCAGTTTGCCTCTTTTCTCCCTATTCTTGTCTACCCTATCTTAGTAAGACTGGCAAAAATTGTTCAACAGGCTTAAATCATGGTACCAATAGGAACATGGCAACTGATTAGATAAATGGTAAATTAGGGGCTAGCCGCAGACCTGCCTAACAGTCTTCTGTTGACTCATCTTTCTACTTGGTCCCAGATGGCATAAGAGAGTCTCCTATAAATGAGTGATAGAGAGTGGTAGTCGAATTGGTATGATGTGGGAGCTGAGGTTGGTGATTCTGTCCAACCAGCTCAACCACCAGACCATACTGATTAGTTGAAAACACAGAGTCGGGGGCTGGCTTCACAGAGGTCCTGCCAGCTGTGTGGCTTCCATACTGGCTTCTCCATCCTACTCACGTTACAACCCTACCCCTGACAGCCAACCTTTATCAGAGGCAAACTAGCCATCTTGGGAGTTGTCCTCCCTGGAGACCCATAAATGTGTGTGTGTGTGTGTGTTTTTTTTAATGAATGAATCAATTAATACCAGTCAGTTGAATATATTCATTCATCCAAATCCTCTTTTTTTTGAAACAGGAGCATTGTGTTTTTGCAAAATCTTCATTTGCAGGTGAAAAGATGCATGAATAAATTGAAACCAGAAACTGACTCAAAAAAGTAACCTGCCTGGAGCTTAATGTGAATTTCCTCAACTACTCACACTCGATTCTATTTAAATCGATCCTGACACATTACAATAGTTTCAATCATCAGAGGAAGATTCAATAACCTTAACCACATTGTATTTACTAAGGCAGAAAAGCAGACTCATACATTTTATAACGATTGTCAGTAACAAGGTTGACACACCAGGAGGGCTTTCAGTTCACCCTCAGCAAACCAGAAAATTAAATTAAGCTGTGGCTCTCAGTCTCCCAATGGTTGGGATAATTGAGACTTATTGTGTTAGAAAACATTTTAACTATTTGTAGTTTGATAAAAAGAAAAATCTATCACTGAAGTGTTCAGTTTGTGGTTGAAATAATATAAATTCCTTTTATGTCTACCACCTAGTGTGCATTATTAGATAATTTCATTGTGTTTTCCTTATTGATGAGCAGGATCTTTTCAGATGCTTAACTTTAGATGTTTGGGAAATAAGAGTTCCATTTTTTATCACCCCAGCCTTTGATTCTGTCTTCCTCTCTCTTCTATTGTTCAGATATTTAACTGCTATTGTCACATGGTAGGGAGGAGAGAAGGAAAGGAAAAACAGAGATAAAAAATAAATATTTCTCTCTTCTTACTTAATAAAAAGATATTAATGTAAAATTACATTTTTGGTAGCTTTCATTGATTAGTAAATTATATACCTATTTAATAAATAGGAATTTTTAAGGGAAAATATAGTAGCCATCTACCCTCAGTAAACTCATTATCTATGTAGAGGATTGAGATAGGCATAAAAAACAACCAGATGATAACTGAAACAACATATAATTAAATACTAGATTGTGGGGTACAGAGGATAGAAATATAGGAATTGAGAAGAAAGAAGTTTGGAGTTAGATAAGGAATATTTCTTACAGCAATGGGTCTTGAGTCTGCCTTTCAGGTCAATAGCATACATTGAGTGCTTCCTATGAGTCACGTTCTCTGCTGATCAACAGGGTCCCAAAGATGAATGTTTTAGAAACAGAAATATGGTGACGCAGGAGGAGAAGAAGTAATAAGGTGCTTTCTTAATTAGAGGATCCACTGTGGTGAATATTGAGAAATAAAGTCCAGGAGGCAAGAAAAATTCAGTTAAAAAAAGCTTTGAGATCAGAGAATTTATACTACATTCATCCATCTTAAAAATTTATTACATATACATTTTATGTCAGTCTCAAGATTCCAATTAAAGTGGGGGTAGAGTTGGCACATTTTCTGCCATTATGGAATTACAAGTAAATATAAAAATCAAACTATGTTAAGTGTACTAAAAGATCATATAATAGGTAAACTTGACTGACAGGGAAGGCTTCTATGAAGAAATTATTATTCTGATCTTAACAATACAAAGGCTATGCCACCTGCACAACCAGGGAGCCAGGAGCATTCTAATGAAAGGAAAAGAATTGCAGATGGCAGGAAAGATCTCATGGTAGAGGGAACCTAATGAAAAATGAAGATGGAGGGACCAAGTTCATGCAAGAACCTTTGGGCAATGTTTAAATATGTGTGTGTCTAGCTTAAGAGTAACAGGAAGCCATTAAAGAGTTTAAAGCAAGATGGTGTCATGATCATTGAAAAGATTCCTGTGACTGTGAAGAATGAATTAGGCATAAGCTGGAAGATATGTGGTGATTAGTCAGAAGGCTATCATGTAGTCACACTGGAGTAGCTATGATTGGGTTGATGGTCATGCAAAGAGAGGAAAGAGCAGGGGCTCAAAAGATATTTAGTAGTTAAAACTAAGGAAGTTGGTGTAATATCTTGGTGTGAAGAGTGAGGAAAATATGTCACAGATGACCTCCTAGGATTCTGACTTGCAAAATAGATAGTATTGCCATTTTCTGCAAGAGGGTCAAGTTTTAGGATGTTTTCTTTTGGGAGGAGTCAGAGGAAGTTCATGAGTTTGTTTTTGCATGTGTTGAGTTTGAGGTGACTTTGGAACATGTAAGTGGAGATGTCAACCAGGTTATTAGTAGTATGAGCTATGCTTTGCGAGTCAGGTAAGTTGGTGAATCTTCAGACAAAGATGAAAGTCCTCTTGAGAGAAAATGTAGAATGAGAGGAGAAAAAAGAAAGAGTTGAACTTAAAACATCACTAATCTCTAATAGCTGGATGGGAAGAAGCCTGCAAAGAAGATAAAGGTGAAGGATGACAAAGGGGAAGGAGGAAAAACCAGGGTTTTGTGGTAGAACAGAAGTCAAGGGAACAGAATGTTTCCAGGAAGTTGAATCAACAAGACACTGTGTCCTGGTGACAGAAAAGTAAGATAAGGGCTAGAAAATGTTTGTGCTTTTGAAGGATTAGTTACTGGACTTGGTTTATAAAAGAATTAATACATTGGGAAAGTAGATTGATGAATGTACTGTAACACTAGTGATAAGAGATGAAAGCCTAGACTAGATTTGGAATAAACTGAATAACACCACAAAGAAACACTAAGTAGGACTGATTAAACATGGAGGCTAAAAGATGAGATCAAAGTTGGGAACAGAGAGAACCAGAGTACCACTATTAACAACAAGCCAACAGAAGCATTTAGATAGTTTCTTAAGAACAATTGGGATAAATGTAGTAGAAATATTCTGTACTCATATATAAAAATGGAAAAATGAGGCCTGTTGAAACTATTCCAGGATGGGGTGGGGGGAGAAGGGACAAAGGAGAATGATGGAGGAGATGAATTCAATGATGATATATTGTAAGAACTTTTGTAAATATCACAGTGTACTCCCTATACAACAATAATATAACAAAAAATAAATTAAAAAAAGAACAATTAATATGACCTAATTAGGAAGCCATAAATTATGTCCAGTGGTTTTAAAAAGACCTTAACTTTTTTGTGAAACCAGAATTTCTAAAATGCCAACAAACAGAATATCTGTATTACTAGAAGGCAGAAGGGTATATAGGCAAGAGAAAGGTCAAACATTTGTACAGTTCATACCATGGATCAGAATTTTCCATGCACCCTCTCATATGCTACATGGATTTTTTTTTTTTTACTAACTGGTAGAACCCCTACAATTATTCACAACTCTGATGAGAGATGATCAGAGGGAGTTCTTTTAATACAAAAATAGAACATTGTAGACTGCAGCAGATTGAAAGAATGTTACATATGGCAGAGCAAGGCTTAGAAAAACCAATAGAGAAAGAACTAAAATGGATGTTCATAGAAGAATATATATCAATGCCTGCTGTGTCCTACTATGATGTATCTTCCTGTGTTCTACTGTGTCATCACTAAATGATCATTCCTCATTACTTTAACATAACCACTTATTTTAATACATACTCCAACTACTTTCCAAAATATTAAACTCAAGTGGTAAGAAGTGATCTCTGGTTGCGTTACCTTGAAAAAATTAAAATAACGTGGATTTTTTGGCAATCCAGATTAAAAGATAAATTTTACCTCTGATGGTGTCTTTTGCGTAGCAAACATGGTATCTTGATTCTTTAATTCTTAATCTCAGGTGTTATCTTTTCTGAATGAACTCTTTTGTTGAACGGCCTTGGGGAAAGGAACTAATTACATACTGCATGGGGACGTGGTTCATTTCACCAGTGCAACACAGATGTCAAGGGTCAGGCTGTCTGGATTTGATCCTGCCTCTGAGGCTCATGCTCTTCATGATTTGGAGCAAGTTCCATAGCCTGTGTTTTTTTCCATTTACTTAACACAAAATGGTTTTTGTTTTGTTTTGTTTTGGTTAAAATAGTTAATACACAGTATACTTCTTTTTTCCTTCTCTTTCTTTCTTTTTTTTTTTTAAACTAGAAACTCAATCCAGGGCCTCAAGCATGTTATATACACTGTCTACCACTGAGCTACACCCTTCAGTCCTCACAGTAAGCTTTTTGAATAACAAACAAGTATTTGACAAATATTAATTCTTATTAAAACTATAAGTTTAAAGGTTTTATTATAAATTAATATAATGTAGTATTATGCAAGTGTTGCAATCTTTGAGGTTTCAACTCAAATTGAAACTTATTTCAATGCATCAGAAAGAATTTAAACATACATTGCAGAAAAGAGGTGAGGCTGGACCATGACTAAACTCAGGTATGAATGCATGATGGGATTGCAGGTGCATTTAACTAAAGGGTGTAACTCATGAGTCTCACACCCAAGTGAATTCCCTAGTGCTGTGGGATTTGATTCGTTTATGGTCCTCTCATTATTTATGTGTATGTGTTCTTCTCTGTCCGTCCTGTTCTTTGCAGTCAGACACTTCTGGAGACTATGGAATCACGCTCTTAAAGATCTGTGGTGGAGATGATTAAGTGAAGAAGACTCTCCCAAGGCTGCTGGCTTCTGTGAAGAGCTTTGCTAACAATTCCATTTGCTTCTTTTTCATAGTATTTAAAAGTACAAGCAAGTGTAAAATAGCAACTTGTTTGCCTAACAGATATTTTCATTGTTCCATAACAACAACAAAGCAAAAGTGATTATTTTAGAACAGCTTATTCCTATTGTAGGAGCTTATAAATGAAATTTAAAATAGGATCTGCTAACATTATCCAAATGATGTTTCTAGTTAGGAAGTCAGAATCTGTATAATAAAAATTGTTGCCTTTGTTAAACGTAATTTGTCTGCTTGTTTTTAGAGTCATCCAACCTTCATGTTGCCAGTGTCAACAACTAATGATATTTTACAGCAGGTATTTGTTATAAAAGCTGTTGCCATTTCTATCAGTCTATTATCTTATCCATTATGGTCTTTAAAAATAAAGATGGATGTGAACCTGACCTGCCCTTTCTATTTCTGACCAAGCTATGAGAATACCAGTGCATGACAAGTTACTCCATAATCCAGAAAATATCTGCTGAACTATTAATCTAACCACTTCCTGTCTTAGTGGCAGGCATGAATTGTGGTTGCTGCATGCTAAATATTGCTTTCCCAGAAATGGGTTTTTAAAATCCATCCTGTTGCTAGGTATCTTTTCCTTTCAGTCATCAAAACTATGCTTTTAAAAAAAATCCCTGATATTACCTTGAATGGGACCAAATAAGAATTACCTTAACTGATAAGAAATATTGGAGTTATTAGTCTGGACCAGAGTAGAAACAATCATACTGTAGAAGTAGTCCTGGATTGTTATCTAATATAGTCCACTGGTAATACTTCTGAGATCTTTCAGAAAGATGAATGTTATTTTTGTTCTGGGATTTCTAAAATTCATGAGAAGATGGAGTATATGAGTTAGTCTGACACCTGCCCTACCATTTATTAGCTCAGTGACCTTGGCAGCTACTAAAACCTTCAAAACCCAAGTTTCCCCATGTCTACAATGGTGATCATTAGTATCAATTGTTGCCCTAGGATTTCTTAAAGATTGAGTAAGAAAATGTCTATGAAGTGTTTCATCCTGTGCTTGGACACAGTAAGTTCCATAAGGGATCACTGTTATGGCCAAACATCATTCTTCAACAGACTTCAGATCATATACCATGTGCCAACTCTGGTGTTACTAAGTGTTAGATGCAACACAAGGGGCTAAAACTCATTTCATTTGCCAAAGAGCTTAAAATTGGTGTAGGGAGACATGTGACAGATAAATACAACATAGTATGAACTACACACATTTGGGGAAGTGACACTATGGGCAGGAGGCAGACCTTTAGCCTTCTCAAGTTTACAAATTCAACCACTAGAAAAGGAGAAGGGTTCAGGACACAGGTGAAAGCACTTGCAAAGTCATAGAGCCCTGAAATTGCATGGTATGTGCACAGCTCCACCAAAAGCTTGGTGTGGTTGAGGCTTAGAGTACAGGGAAGGCTGGTGACAGGACGAGATCAGATTATAGAGGTCTCATATGCCGTGTGGAAGCATTCACAAGCAAGGGAGAGTCAAAGAAAGAGCATTCCAGGAGGATTTAAATCAGGAAAATAATGTCAATTAAACTCCTATTGACTAGGGATTGGGTTTTTTAGTCCATTTTACATTACCTGTAACTAAGTAACTTTATGAAGAAAAGTGGCTTTTTTTTTTTTTTTTTTGGCAATACTGGGGTTTGAACTCAGGGCTTCATGCTTTCTAGGCAGGTGCTCTACCACTTGATCCACACCCTGAGCCCAAGAACAAAGGTTCTCCTAGTTCTGGAGATTCACATCTGGTGACAGCCTTCTCACTAGCAGAGTCCCAAGAAGGTATGGCATCACATGGTGAGAGACAGGGAGCCCAAGTGAGAAGGTGTGTCATCTACTCTCTCTCCTTACACAGCAATCTGTTCTATCATGGGGCCTCTACCATGATGATCCTAGCTAATCCTATCACCTCTCAAATGTCACACCTCTATACACTTAGAATTAAGTTCCACCTTCTTAATACCACATCATGGGGATTAAATTTCAACACGTGGCTATAGCTCAGTGGTAGAGTATGTGCTTAGCATGCATGAGGCCTTGAATTAAATCCTCAGCACCACACACATATAAAAAGTTTGACACACGAACCATTTTTTTGATACATGAATTACTCAAGTCATATCTAAACCATAGCAATACATAAAAGAAGAATGTTTAATAAAACCAAGCCAAGAACTGGTGGCTTATGCTTATAATCCTAGCTACTCAGGAGGAAGAGATCAGGAGGATCACGGTTTGAGGCCAACCCAGGCAAAGTAGTTTATGAGGCCTATCTCAAAAATATCCAACATAAAAAAGGGCTGGTGGAGTGGCTCAAATGGTAGAGTACTGCCCTGAGTTGAGACCCCAGTACTGCGCCACCCCCCACAATAAAAGCCAGAGACATGGAACTTATTTGGCAAATTAGCTCTGTAATCAATGCTAGAAACATCAGGCTGAACTAGGATAATGAAAAGAACAAATAAAACAACAACAAAAAAGACTTGAATATTTAAGAGAGAAAACTGAGTAAACATAGTAATCAAGGTAGTTAGCAAGTATACTCTTACAATTTTGGCTTAAATAATTTGGTGATTGAACAAATTGTCAAACAAATAAATCAATGCTAGCTGGGCACAGTGGCACACATCTGTAATCCAGCACTTGGGAAGCAGAGGCAGGAGGTTTGCTACTGAGACCCTGTGTCCAAAAAATAAAAAAAGCAAATTATAAATTAAAAAATAAATCACTGCTAGTGCTCCTTGAATGCATACTGTGTGTCAGGTACTATTTTATAAACAGTGTGGTATATCTTAAATATACTACAGTCTTTCAAATATAGCAAGCTTATAATATAGATTATAATTCAGTTCAGGAATGGAAGCTTAGAGAAATTGAATAATTTGCTTTTGGAAGATCCTGGATTTAAACTCAAGTTGGCCAACTCTAATGTCCTTGCTGTTAATCACTATTTTACTTTAGGATTTTTCTCATCCCAGGGCCACTGTCCTTTTCAACTCTAGAATGTAAACTACTTGAATGTAGGGATATTTTTCTGCTACCTCACTGCTGTATTCTAGTGCTTAGAATAGAACTTGACACATAAAAATCACACAGCTCTGTTGAGTGAATGAAGTTCTTTTTACCCTATGCATCTGAACTATATAAGTGAATTTGAATGGCTATTTAAACATTCAAATTCGGTGGGGAGGTGTGAAGAAAAATTCAGAAATTCTACTCACATACAAAGTACTTTTTCCAAGCTACTCATCACCATGGAGAGAAATGTTGAGGAGCAACAAGTTCAAATGCAGAGGATATCCTTTACTCAATACAAAAATAAACTCCTAAAATGGTGTTACAAGGTATAAACTTGACCTTGGCCATGTTCTCTAAAGTTGTGAAGTAATCTCTACCCTTTAGGATTTTAATATTAACTGTTCTTTTCCTCTGAAAAAAATTATTTGCTCAATTAGAATTCTCCCACATTTTTTTGCCTTCCTTCCTTCCTTCCTTCCTTCATCCCTCCCTCCCTCCCTTGCTCCCTCCTTCTTTTCCTACTCTGTCCCTCTGACTTCTTACACCTTATGCTTCTTTGACGTTATGGTGCCCCATTAGGACCCAGAAGCAGCCTTTATCTCCAATCAGTAAGGGCCAGAGTACAGGAAAAATACAAAACTAGACAGAATCTGTGTTCTTTCCAGCTTTTCAAGGCTCAGCTGTGTAATCTTGTCATAGAAAGGACAGCCAGTAAGTCATTCTGAATGTCAGTGTATGTATTCTATATCCCTAAATTCCTAGCTCAATTCCCCATTCATAGAAGGTACACAATAAATATTAATGATGGTGATTTGTAAGGAGAGGTAATAGAATTGCCTGCCAACTATACCGGATTGTTAAAAGGAGCACAGGAAATAATGATTGGAGCTACCTTGAGATGTATCAAATGTTATTAAAACACAATATAGAGCTATGGTATTGATATTAAAATTATCAACTAATCAATTAATTGAGGACTTGGTATATGCTGCATACTGTGCTAGACACTTTAGATCTCATTTATCCTCAGAGTTATATCATTTATTCATCATAAATACTTTCTGAAACAAAGCATGGTTATCCGTGTCAGTATTTTCCTATTTTACAAACAAGGAAAATGAGGCTCCAAACTGTTAGGTAACACCAGGGTTTGAGATCTACCAGTTGGATTTGAAAATTCTCTGGGCGTGAGTGAGTGTGAGGAAGGTGAGAATGTGAAGGGAGTGCTGATCACAAACTGTGAGAAGATAAGCAACAGCAAGCTAGTGAAAGAATACCCTAGAAAGCTGTCCCGGTCTTCCCACCCTTCTCATCATTGTGCTTCAGATGCCTGCCGGCTGGAGGCTGCTGGAAGTGTATTTCTGACTATTCTGATGGAACACGGCTACCTGCAATGGTTGCTGGTGATGGTCTTTCCAAAGAACTATAATGTTTAAGTGTTCAAATGCCTGAGTGAGAGAGGTGGGCAGTAGACAATGCAGGAGTGGTGCCATGGTTAAGTTTATTACCTTGGGTCAGATTACCCAGACCTGTGGCTTTAAGCAACACTTTTTTTTTACCTTTCTAAGCCACACTTTCCTCACCTTTAAAATGAAGACAACAATAATTACCTTGTAAGGTTATTTTATGATTAAATGAAAAAACAGTGAATATATGATAAGCCCCCAGCAAATATTAGCTTAAGCCAGGTTCAGGGTGAATGCCTGTAGTCCCAACTACTTAATATTGGTTATAAAATCATTATTTTTTATGAGGCAGGTATTATTATTACTCAGGAGGCTGAGGGAAGAGTAAGCCCAGTAGTTCAAGACCAGCCTGGGCTGCATAGTGACACCCATTCTCACAAATGAGTGGGGGGAAGAAGGAAGAGGGGAAAAAGCAGGGGGGAGGGGAAGTGAGCAAGAATGTTAACCTATATCATATTATGGTGTGCTGTTCAAGGGCCATGTTTCTTATTCTTCCAATTTCCACAAGGTGGCAGGTCAACTTCAAAGTGCACCCCATGGCTTTGTATCCAAATGGCAAAACCTACTTTACTTGTTTCAGAATATCCAGTCCAAATGTGAACTACTTGAAAACATCTATGGAATGTTTGTCATGGTCCAGGCATCTTACTGTCATTGTAAGCGCCTTCTGAATGGAACATTCTGATCATTTACTTTAATCCTTGAGTTCTCAGCATTCCCAGGGCCATCTGCATTTGCGTGAGATGTATATGAGCTCTGCCACAGGTTGCCTGCCTAAGCAAGTGCATGCAAATCAGCTCATTAAGCACCAGTTTAG